ACACACAATGGGGAAGGGAATTCATTTCAAGGGCCACAACGTGAGACCAGCATAGCCATGAAAACTGCAATAATTTCACAGCAGAATGAAATTCATAAAGAACTGCTGAGAAGCGTGTGATAAGTTACATAAATCACTGTTCCTTAAATTCTGACGGTTGACTAGAACAGAAATAGCTTCACAGTACAGTTCAAACAGGAGAAAGGTAGGTAGGGGTGGTTTCCACACCACACAGGGCCTGCAGGAAAGGGACACTCTTCCTCTAAACGGGAGATCCCGGGAGTGATGTGGTAAGCCATGGTGAGAGGCAAGGAACTGTGCAAGCCGGAGTCGCGGCCTTGGCCCCACCGCAGAGCCTGTGTCCTTGAACGACGAGGCTCAAATGTCAGGCCGGGGCAACCGAGGCAGTTATCAGGGGACAAGAAAACGAGCGCACGGTGGAGGCAAAGGTCTGAAATTGTGCGGCAACTTCGAGTCAAGTGGGACAAACTGACTCAAAATACAGGTTCCAAAAACCATCACAGAGAGCTGTTCCTCGGCTCTGGAAAGGCTAAGTGACTAATGCCCACACTGAGCATCTGCTCCCAGAGACGACCCTGGTGACCTAAGGCCCAGCTCTTCCGAACCCGCGCCAAACCTCAGTGAGGAACTTTGTTGGTATCTTATGGCACATTGACATGTTCCCTTAAAATCTGGTATTTCATCAACAATACAGGCGCCAGCTTTGACTCATACACATTTCAATTAAACAAGATAATTTACACCCTGACCATGCCAGATAAGAGGTTTACTACAATCTTTAAACAGCCAGAGGCTACAGTCTGCTCCTACACAACACCATGTCTCTACAAGTTCGATGGGTTATTTACTTTCCATGTCTTCACTTGACTAGTGCTAGAAAGCAGATTAAAAACAGAAGGAACCCAGAAACACTATTGAACGAGACTCAAATATCTTGCAGTCATCATCGTGATGAGACGTTTATTAAACAGAAATGTTCTCCCCTGTAGAAAGCAGCACACATCAACACACACCGATAACTGTCGCCAGCATTCCAGATCATCTTCCCTTCCATGGCCACAGTGCAGGGCAATGGACCACGCACACCTGCAGACCCACGGAAAGCGGGGTGACACGGCCGATTCTTGTAGCGAGCAGGCCAGGGTGCACTCAAACTGCATCTCTTTCCAGAGGTCCGCCATGGAAAGTTACACATTTATTCCACGAGTTAATGGCACTGCACCAAACATTTCTGTAAGATTCTCTTAGCAAGCTTTTCCTTCTGCCTAAAATGTCCTGGCACAAACTGAAAAAGCTCTTGGAGCTGCCAAAGACTTCAGTATCCCCTTAACTATTGTCATGTACGCCAGTGTGAAGAGACCACCAAACAGGCTTTGTGAGCGCAACATGTCTGTTTATTTCACCTGGGTGCAGGCGGGCTGAGTCTGAAAAGAGTCAGCGAAGGGAGGTTAAGTGTGGAGCCGTCTTATAGGATTTGGATAGGTAAAGGAATATTACAGTCAAAGGGGGCTTGTTCTCTGGCGGGCAGCAGTGGGGGTCACAAGGTGCTCAGTGGGGGAGCTTTTTGAGCCAGGATGAGCCAGGAAAAGGAATTTCACACAGACACACAAAAAATCATCGCTTAAGGCAAGGACCGGCCATTTTCACTTATTTCTGGTAGAATGTTATCAGTTAAGTCCAGGCAGGGCATTTGCACTTTTGTGATTCTTCAGTTACTTCAGGCCATCTGGGTGTATATACGTGCAAGTCACAGGGGATGCGACGGCTTGGCTTGGGCTCAGAGGCTTGACAACCATAGTCTTTACTTTTAAGGTGTGGGGTAAGATCATATAATCCCCAACTAAGCTCCTGATGCTGTGTGTGGCATCCAGCAACAGGACGTTCCATTCCTGGATTACATTTGACTCAAGAGTCCACAGTGAGAACAATTTCTGGTGAATGAAATACCAGGCAGGAGGGTGATTCCGCTGGGCAGCTCTTCACACACAGCCCAGTCGCTGAGGGGAGAGGAAGAGGCCCACGCGCGTCCACCGTGCTCACGCCCCCTTGGAATGCCCCCCACTCCTAGAGACCCGGACCCAAGGGAAATCTGACCTAAAAATGGGCAAACCCTCACTTTGGCAGAGGGACAGGGACTCGGGGCCACAACTTGACCTCAGAGCAACACAAGTGCAGACACAGCACCCCAGGACACCCTCCCCACCCAAATTCAAGGAGGAAAACCAACCCCCGCCCCCTTGCGGAAACCCCCGGCTGCTGGAGCAGACCCTGCCGGCGTGTGCAGCCTCTGCCGTCCCACATTCCGGGCTCAGCACCTGTGCCTCAGCCCTGGCACTGCTCACCACACCCACAGGTGTGCCAGGAGGGGCAGGTCCTAAGGTCTCCACTGCACCAAAGCCTGCAAGGCAAAGGGGCCGCTCCCTCCAGCAGGAGTCCAGAAGCACACACTGCACCAGCGTCACAGCGTGAGAATTCTTCCCTCGGTCTCCGAGTCTCCAGTCTGTTGCCCGCCACGGTCTTCTGCCAACGGCAAGGCCCAAGCTGGGCGGCACGTTTGGTTCTCACCATTTCCCTTGTCAAGATCAATACTGCAAACATATCCGATTCATCCTGTCACTAAAAAGGAAATAATCCGCCATCTCCATCACAAATGACGCAACCAGGTTTCCATTACTGCGGTGTTTCCCCCCCCCCCCTCTATTTTGAGATGGAATTTCTGCTCTGTCTCCCAGGATGCAGTGCAGTGGCGCGATCTCGGCTCACTGCAACCTCTGCCTCCCGGGTACATGTGATTCTCCTGCCTCAGCCTCCCAAGTAGCTGGGATTACAAGGTGCCTGTCACCATGCCCGGCTAATTTTCATATTTTCAGTACAGACGGGGTTTCACCATGTTGACCAGGCTGGTCTGGAACTCCTAACCTCAGGGGATCCACCTGCCTCCTCCTCTCAAAGTGCTGGAGTTACAGGCGTAAGCCACCAGGCCCAACCATTACTGGTGTAATTTCTAAGCCACTCTCTCACACCCACTCCCTTTTTTTTTTTTTTTTTTTTAAAGAACCAGCTTTATGGCTATATTTTTTTCCCAGAGAACCAGTTACCCATTTCAAGTACAAATAAGACACCATGTTTAAAAACCAAAAATGCCAATTTGCACAGAAGTCTCCAAATACCTAGTTGATTTGAGCCTTGAGAATAACATCAAGCTGTTGGCTGAATACAACTTCCCTTTCCATCTGTCTGCTTGTGAGTTAGACACAAGGACGAAGCCACCAGCTAGGGACATAAAGGCAGGAACCACCAAGGCAGCCGAGACTCCAAATAAAAGCTCGAAGGACCAACACAAATGCACCACACCCTGCACGCCCTCCTCTCCTTCCTTTTCAGAATTTCCAGAGGATGAAACAGGGACCTCCTCAGACGTCCCACGGTGCAGGCGACCAGAAGGGAAGGCGGTGGCAGCCTGAATGAGGTGACCGGGAAATCACATTCCACAAACAGAAATTCTCCATGTGCTTTACATCCTCTGTCTCTGAAGAACTATGCCAGCCTAACAGTCGCTAGAAAACCACCTTCAAGTGTCATTTCCCATTTCAAGCAAAGAAAACAGTGGTGGGGCATGAGGGAAAAACATAGCCATATGTTCTGGGGTATTAAATAAGGTTTTTTCTGTTATAAACGTATAATTTTACATTCTCAGTTTTCTGTATAATTGATATGCTTCCTAATTGGCAGACATAGTAATAAAAAGTGAATTCCAAGTGTAAGATCGGAGGACCCGTTCACATGGCTTCAGGTTCTGCTACTGTGTTTCAACTTAAGAAAATGGTTCTGTGCGTTGGTAACAAGGCCTGAGAGTCTGTGTGTGAGTCTGTGTGGCTGTCATCAGGGTTCGTGTTGGCTCGGTACCAGAGGATGTTACACTGTTACATTATCTTCTACAAAAAATCCTGAAAAAATGAAGGCTGAATAGACATACACACCCTCCCAAAATAATCCAAATGTCCACCGATATGAAAAACAGATGAATTACGGTTTCCATCGTGGAATATTCCTCAGCAGTGAAAACAAACTATAGCCACAGGTGCCAACTAGGATAAAGAAAACCTTTTAAACACGTTTAAAGTGAACTGACTAGGCGGAATTCCTCGATTACAGGCATCTGCTCCAAAATGGTCCTGTTCTGAATCCTGTGATGTAGAATGATATTTAGCAATCCTGTTTTGGGGCACATCTAGAAAAAAAGCAAAATAATGACTACACAATTTTAAATTCTTTGTAAATTATAACTATTACTATGAAAATTCTAAAAATGTGAAAATCTTCCCAACTGTTGTTGGACAAGCTTCAAAATAAATACCCTGGCATTGCTTGCCACACCCACAGGTGTGCCAAAATAAATGAAAATATAGCCTAAGTTAGTAGAATCGAAACCTGAAGATGTACGAGCCGTACCCCTGCCTCGCTATCTATACATCGTGTAGAAATTTAAGAGCAGGTAGTGACACTGCAATGCAAGGCTCAAACCAACTGGGTATTTGGAAACTTCTATGCAAATTAGCATTTTTGGTTTTTAAACACGGTGTTATTTGTACTTCAAACAGGTAACTTTTTGATTCCCTTGGAAAAAATATAGCCATAAACCTGGTCTAAAAAAAATAAATACGGGAGTGGGTATGAGAGAGAGTAGCTTAGAAATTTTAAAAGTATCAGCAGGGAGCAGTGGCTCATGCCTGTAATCCCAGCACTTTGAGAGACAGGCCCAAGGGGCCTTTGAGGACACCGGTCTCCTCTGCTGCCTTCCTGCTGGACTGACCTCAGGATATTCACTGGATTTCCACCCCTGTCTCATTTAACATCCCAAGGGTGGTCTTCATCCTCATCTGGGGCTCAGCTCTGCCCCAATTTCTTAAATCTCTGCCTTCAGAGCCTGAAAACACCCACGCCCAGGGTCACCCTAAGTCCACGTTTACCCCAGAGAGTCCCAATTTTATGTTTTCCCAGCATCGCCTTAGTGATAATTTATCCTGTCAATTCCAACTGCCTTCACACCTCACCCCTGCTGTCTCCCAGCAGACCCCACTCAGATGCACTTGCCCCAGACCCTACACCCAGGTCTGTGCATGCTGCCCTGCTTTGCCCATGTGGGGACCACCTCTCTTTCTTGAGGAATCAGCTGGCGATCATCTCCTTGTGGAGGGCTGCCCTGACTTCCAACTCTCTCCAGCAAAGGCAGAAGCCATCCTCGGTACTTCCCCAAAACTCAGGCCAAGTACGAAGATGGCGCAGATGTTAGCTGTGCCTGGGATGCCATGGGCAGGGTCCCCAGATGCTCTACACATGGCCCGGGGCACCGCCTGAACATAGCAAGTGCTGAAGAAACAAAACTGACATGCGCTGACCTCTGATAGGGCCCCCTTCACCATCCACATCTGTCTCCCCTCTGGACAGCAAAATCCACAAGACACGGAGGGCTTGTCTCACTCATCTTCAAACTCCCAGAGTCACCCTGGTAGGTAAAGGAGACTCAAATGTCTTCTGAAGGAAGCGGCTGGTTAGCTGCCAAGTTAAAGGGCCTCTGAAATTCAGAGCTCTGCATAGGAGTCCAGCAGACTTTATTATGAATGACTCCAACCACGGCAGAAGTGGCCGTGGAACCAGTGCTAACAAATTCAGGATTTGTTCACTGTTTCTCAGTTAATTATCACAACTCATTCTCACAGAGCAGCTGCGGACAGATCCTCAGACGTCTACACAGAGTGGGACGATGGCGCCGAGTCACGTGAACGTCCTGTTGCAGACTGGGAGACACCGGTCAGACATGGACCCAGGCAGAGCACAGACCTCACGTTAAATCTGCTCCCTGTAAACAGCACTCCCTGCCACGCCCTTTCCTATCCGCACAGCTTCTACAAATTCAACTCTCACACCTGACACCTAACAATACTGCACACCCCCATGTGAACGCCCCATTTACCTCCCAAAATGACCCGGCATGGCCGAGTACAAAAAATTTCAACATAAGGGAACTGGAGGGCATGTGGGGCTTTCTCGAGTACCTGCTGCCTCCTGATGGGAGGGTCCAATGCTTCACACCCCTAGTGAAGGGCGGGTCTCTTCGGCCCCCCGACTTTGACCTGGAGCTTAAATCAGCATTAACTAATTTCACTTTCCAGGACCAACTTCAAAGGCCTGCAAAGCCAGAGAAGGGAGAGGAGATGGAACACGCCCTCACCTCAGACCTGCCGCAAGCACGCACTTCTCAGATGCGTCCCAAGGTGCACAGCGTGTCCGATGCCTGTTTCACATCCACCGACCTGCAGGTCTTCTATGTGGCATCAGCCTCTTGGGCACTGGAAACAAGAGGTATAATGGCAAATCCCCTATGCAGCAAAGGTGAGGAAAAGGGACCCAACGCAATGGAACTGACCTTTTTCTGACAGTCTCAAAACAGAAGGAAAATACTGTACAACCAACTTCTCCTCACGCAGGTTTATTTACCTGTGACTCAGAGGCCATGACAGACAACTTCAGGTTCTCACCGATTCCTATTTTCCCCATCCAGGAAGCCTTTGTTTTTAATATCGTACACACTTGCCATTTTGTAGGCCAAAAACAGCAAATACTGCCAGTTTCCTATAGTTCAACTGAATAAAATATGATCATGGCCTTTTGTGAAACCATGAAGAAGAGGTGGATATCTCAGTATGTGTTTCCAGACTGGCTTTGTTCCTGAAGTGGTAACTCTGTTCACTCAGGATTTTAGACACTGAAGAATAAACATCAATATCCCACCAAGAAAATCAAAAAAATGAAATAATTTTGCATCCACCTTGGAGCCGTTTTAGGATAAGGCAGGACACAAACTTTTAAAAAGCTGCAGTTGTCCCTCTGTATACACAGGGACATGGATTCCAGAACACCCCCCGAGTTTACCCAAATCTACGTATCCACAGGACTCCACGGCCACCCTATGGAACCGCATGTAGGAAACGTCGGCCCTCCACAAAGCCAGGTGTTTTCAGTAAGGGTTTGGTTGGAAAATAATTAACATAAGTGTTCCTTCGAAGCTCAAAACCTATGTGGTTCAGGGTCAGCTGCATTTATTACTTGTGTCATATCTGAGGCCTGAAAGCCATCATTCTCGATACCTTAACGTGATGGTTAACAAACTAACTGTTCTGATTAGAAAGAGGAAAAAGCTTATTTTTAAGCTGACAATGAGAGTGGATGCAGCTACGGTGAACGGAGAACAGACCTAAGCAAGCACCAAGGCTGGGGTGACTGCCTGTGCTCAGACCCACCAGGGCCTGTTCCTCCATCTCCCTCTGCTGAAAGGGATAACCGCTTCTCCCCCACGACTAAAGGGCCTTTTTTAAATACTCACACGAGAAGTGCTATGAAAAGCTAAAAGGTCACAGATAACATTTTTAAAAATAAACATTAATGTAAGCATTTAACAAGCCCATTATGATTTTTAAAAAAATGGTAATAAGTTCTTGGGTGTGGTGGCTCATGGCCGTAATCCCAGCACTTTGGGTGGCTGAGGTGGGTGCATCACCTGAGGTCAAGAGTTTAAGACTAGCCTGGCCAGCATGGTGAAAACCCTTCTCTAACGAAAATACGAAAATTAGCCAGGCATGGTGGCAGACGCCTGTAGCCCCAGTTACTTGGGAGGCTGAGGGAGGAGAATCACTTGAACCCAGGAGGGAGAGTTTGCAATGAGCCAAGATCGTGCCATTGCACTTCAGCCTGGGCGTTGAGTGTGAAACTCCATCCCAAAAAGAAAAAAAGATTATAAAGTTTTCTTTCCAATGAACTTATCATTCAGCCACCGAGGTATCCTATAGCTACTTATTCAGCCATGAGATACACAACAGGAGATATAGGCGAACAGGACACAGTTCTTCCCTGAAAGAAGGCTGCACCCTCAACAGAAGGGAGGCACATACTCCGAATGGAATCGGCATAGGGAACAGATGCTGCTGCAGGTGGAACTGGCTGCACAGAGCACCCGCTCAAGTGTCTGAGAAACAAGGAGCCGTTGGTGCCATCACCTTTCATACCTGAGCTGGGTGGTGATGACATCACTACCACTACCACCCGGGACAAAGAGCCCCAGAACCACACAATGAGCTTACAAACTCACCAAGGCAACGACCGAGTAATGTGCGTGGAGTGATGCGAACACGCAGACGTCAGGGCCACGCACGGAGTTGGTTTTGTGCATCAACCTGAGCGTGCCTAGGGTGCCCAGATGGCTGGTTCTGCATTATTTCTGTGTGAGATGCATGTTGGCCTCTGGACTGAGTGGAGACCCATCCTCGCCGGTGTGGGGGGCACCACCCTATCCACCCAGGGCCCGAGTAAAACAGCAAGGCGGGAAAACTGGGTTCACTCCACCTGTCTGGCTGATGGGCCAGTGACATTTGTCTTCTGCAGCCCGTGCTCCTGGGTCTCAGCTCCTCAGACCCGGGTGGGATCTGCACCCTCCGCTTCTCAAGTCTTCAAGCCACACCCTCCCAGGACTCCAGCTTGCAGGCTGTGTGTCCTGGGGCTTCTTGGACACTGTAGCCCCTGCAACAAGCCTCGCCCTGGAGACACACGCACACCCGGCTGGCTGTCTCTCTGGAAGCCCTGACTAAAAGCCGTCCCTGAAAGTGGTCTTCAGAGTTTCTTTCCAGCCCTAAGATCCCAGCACCCCTCCTACAATTCTAGGCGGAAAGGTGAACGGAGACCAATGGACAGAGGTGTGTGCGAGGACACACCAGGCAGCAGCACTAGGCAGGAGGGCACTAACACTCACTAAGCAAAGAATCAATGCTGCTTGCCACAAAAATGAGAGCAGTAAAGATTTCTTCAAACAGAAATGAGTTTGTTTCATGATTTGCTCTTAATACATAAGAAAGCATAAAATTAGGCCTATTAACAATTACGTAAGTCTTTAGAGGCCCTTGAACTACTTCTGTCCCTTTGTGTTTTTATAGAAAATAAGCCTGAGGTTAAAGAGAATAACGTCACTGGCCACAACTGGGGCCACGGGAGGACACAGCTTATACCCCTGAGGTCCCTGGGTGCCCCCAAGTCCTTCCCTTGCTATTTATGGAAATATGGGAGAAACCAGGAGGTCTGAGCACAGACCTGGCCGTGCTCCCGGGGGCCGAGGAAAGCACCCATCTGTCCAGTCTTCCCTCCACACCCCAAGGTTCCCTCTTACCCAGACTCTTGGGCTGACGCGGCTCATGCACTCAACAGCGCCATCATTAAACGCTTAGCTTCGCATCACGAGGGCCTCCTCTGGCCTCCTCTGACCACTCCTGAACCTGCAGTCAGCACTAGTCTGCAGGACACGCGTGGAAAAAGTTCATGGATCACGGTCTCCAACGAGGAAGGTGCCAGGCAAGGAGTCGGAGAGCCGGGGATGGAACAGCACTCACCCAGGGAGGCGAAGGCCAACAGAGGCCACCACCGAGGGCCTCCCTTCCCACCTTGAGGGCAGCTCACCCAGGAAAGCGAAGGCCGACACCGGCCACCACTGAGGGCCTCAAGGGCTCTCCCCACCCTGAAGGCGGCTGCGATCACATTTCCCATCGCACCAAGAGACCCCTGTATTGAGCACAAACCTTTCCAACCTTTGAATCAATAAGGAATCACAACACAGACATTCCCTCAATCCAAATGGCCAGCCCACAAAACAGACACGCAATCATGCACATTTCCTGTGGGAAAATCAGTCAGTCCCTGGGGCCTCGCGCCAGGGGTGGGGGAGCATCATGGGGAGATGCCCCAGCCCCAGCCTGGCTCTTCTCTCTACAGCTCCTTTTCCCTCCTCTTCCCCCCGCCCCTTCCCACCCCCTCCTAGCCTCAGAGGCTCCTTCCTCAAATTCTTTCCCCTTGATGAAGTCATTCATGCCCAAAATACAAGGCAAAGTCATGGGGGCTAAAAAGAAAATCCATACCGTGCCTCGCGTTTTAGATTCTCATAAGTTTGAGAATAACCAAGCAAGAATCTTTGGCATGTGAATGCGGTCTGAAGGCATCTGAGCACAATGCCCGGCACTGGCCCGGAGTGGATCATGGGTGTCTCGGACATCTTCGCAACTCTACGCCAATTATTTTGAAACATACCAGCAGAATAGAACCATGTGAATAGCTGCTTCTCAGTTAAAAGTAGGAAAAGACTCCAAAAGCTGCCCTCAAGGAACATCCTTCCCACCAGGAGTTTTCTGCATCGGGTCCTTCAGGCATAGTCAAGGCCCCTGGGCCCAACTTCCTCATCCCTGCGTCATAAAGCAGCAAAGACAGTGAGGAATAAAGCAAGTGAAGGAGTCAGTCCCGCACAAAACGGGCTCCAGAAGCCACAGCCACTCTCCCAGTGTGGGAGCCAAGTTCAGAGACCTGGAAACACCAGCTTTCCCAGGGAGGAGGGCAGAACAATGCCATTTCCCCCTAGTTTAGGGAGACACCACCCCACGTCCTCTGGCCTTAATAGAAGAGACACTTCACATAAATGATTTCAATGACTCCACCACACACAGAAAGTGGGCTAAGGGCTAACACACCCAAATAAATGCCAGGCAAAAACACATTAAATGAACACACAGATAACCAAGGTTCTCCTGTTATCCACGAAATATTCAGAAACAAATCCAGTAAGCAATCTCTTTGCAATCAAAAGACCAATTCAGAGGTGCAGATTAAAAATAAACATACAGGCCGGGCGCGGTGGCTCACGCCTGTAATCCCAGCACTTTGGGAGGCCGAGGCGGGCGGATCACAAGGTCAGGAGATCGAGATCATGGTGAAACCCCGTCTCTACTAAAAATAGAAAAAAAAATTAGCCGGGCGCAGTGGCGGGCGCCTGTAGTCCCAGCTACTCGGGAGGCTGAGGCAGGAGAATGGCGTGAACCCGGGAGGCGGAGCTTGCAGTGAGCCGAGATTGCGCCACTGCACTCCAGCCTGGGCGACAGAGCGAGACTCCGTCTCAAAAAAATAAAAATAAAAATAAAAATAAAAATAAAAAAAATAAAATAAAATAAAATAAAATAAAATAAAATAAAAATAAACATACAACTGAACCCTTAATACACCAAGAACCAAATTCCATGGAAGTGTTATCACATCACCACCTCCAAATTCCATGGAAGTGTTATCACATCACCACCTCCTCTAGCTGAAGGAAAGGAAGCAGCACTGGCCACTGACCAGCTGTTCACTCGTGGGTCAGTGAACGAAAGGCAGTGCTGTCCAGGACAACGATGAGATTGTTAACCTGAAAAGGGCAAAATTGCAGAGGCTGGAGGGACCTTCCAGGTAATCCGGCCTCCTCAGTGGACAGAGGACCCCCTTGGGGCCACAGAGCCCAGAGCTCCAGTGTGTTCGGGGCAAGGACTCAACTGCAACCCTGATGATGTCCGAACGCCTTCTGCCCTTCTGTGTCTCTGCCCCACTAACAGGGAATCCGTGAATGCTAAGGAAATGTAACGCATTTTACAATACATGTAGATTTTTAGCAAATTAAAGATAAACAGTGACAAACTTTGAGAATTAACCAAAATATAGTTCAGTGAACGCCCAAACTCAAAGCTAGTCTCCAAGAGTTAAAAAATTATTGAAAAACTTAAGGATGTAATCACAAGAACTTTATAGGTTTTCCAAGTAAAATTTGGGAAAGGAACTACATGTTTTATTTCTATGAGTCCCACACTTGGATTTTTAAATGTGGCAAAACATCTTGTATGTTCTTCAGCCTGACTGTGGAATCGAATGAAACCTGCCAAGTTAATGCAAGCACTTACGTATGGCGGTGACAAGTGGGGCTGGTCATCAAACAACTGAGGGATTCATCTTCTGGGGCTCCTGTTAGACACTTGCAAAGGGCGCTGGTACTTTCTGTGTGTGTGGACAAGATGAGGACAGAATTTCTGATTCACAATGGTAATTTCTCCCTTTTCTGTTAAACGTATCACAAGGCTTCTACATAGACCTTCAAGTGTTTTTCTCTTGCCTGGTCTACAATAAAACGCTGTTTAACAAAACCTGTATTAGAAGATGGTTGAATTCCACATGATAAAGCAGATAGAGATGACTGAGCATACTGTTTTGTGGAAGGAAGGTTTAAAAATGATTTTTAACTTTTCCCGAAATAGGGAATACTTTAACTTTTTTCCATGAGGGAATACGAAATGGGAAAATAATTAAATTTTCCCATGTAATTGTTAGATTATATTGAATTATTAGATTATTCATAAAATGTAAGTATGTTAACTAGATCACCCCATACCAAAATGAAAATTTAAAGGAATGGGCTAGTTCATTTGAACCTCCTTTAATTGTTTTGCTTGGTTGTTTTTGACAGTCTCACTCTTCCTGTTTCCTCAGGCTGGGTGTAGTAGACAATGACAGCTCACTGCAACTCAACCTTCGGCTCAAGTGATTCTCCTGGGCCTCAGCCTCCCAACGGCTGGGATTTACAGGCGTAA